CCCGGCATTTCCACTACTACTGCTATTGGCCGCCTCCTCGGGAAATCTATATTTAGATTTAAGTAAAAGGTAGTGCCTAGGGGGGAGGGGCGGCTAGCAGTAGTAGTAGTAGTAGTAGTAGTAGTAATAGTAGTAGTAGTAGTAGTGGTAGTAGTAGTAGTAATAATAATAGCAGTAGTAGTAGTGGTAGTAGTAGTCGTCGTCGTAGTAGTAGTAGTAGTGGTGGTGGCAGCAGCAGCAGTAGTAGGAGGAGCGGGAGGGGGAGCAGCAGAAAGCATCAGCAGCTGCATCTAGAGCAGCAGCCAAATCAGTCGCAGTGACAGAGGCCGTCGGAAGGAGGAAAAGGAATACTGTAGCAGCAGCAGCTGCTGCAGCAGCGGCTGTCGCTATTGCGTTGTCATCAGCAAGTCCATTCAACAAAGTCCCCAGATTCGGACCTCGTGCCATGGGCGCCCAATGGCCCAGCTCATCCTGCGATTGGACCTAAGCATATTTGTTGGGGTGCTGTAGACTTTGTTCTGGAGGGCTTTGGTTGGTTTGAAGCTTTGCGGGCTATTGAGGGTTGTCTGGAATCGCATCTCCTTCTTAGGTACCAGAAATCGCAAGCAAACAGGTCACCCTCCGTTCAGCACCGAAGAGGATAGCAAGACAGCCTGCAGGAGCCCCCGTGTGGACCTTGAGCCGCTAAGCCAATCTGCGAGAAACTGAAGCAATGCATGCTATCAATATGACCACTGGTCTTGGCGCAATACCTATGCATGCAAGTTCCAAACTAGTATATTTATGATGTTGCGTTGAAAGGAAGGAAGCCAGCACCAGTCCCGCTCGAGTAGATACGATTCTGCTCTGGCGAGAGGACTGCAGCATATGCTTTGAAAGTTCAGCTGCGTAGCGTGCAACTCTTTACTGTTTGCCAAAGGAAGCGTATCGTCCAAGATCCAAGTGGGCCCAGTCACCACAAGATGCGGCGCATCCTTTACCCCTCTGTCTGAGTACCTGACTGCCAGCTTGTAGAGCACTAGCCAGGCAAGGTACTGCGGTCCAGGGGTCATGGGTCCTGGCACGATGAAACTTCCCAACACACATCGTCCTATGAAGTTTCCTGAGACCGAGTCTATCATGACAATCCCAATTGCCCAGCCAAACCCTTGTTCAAAGACAATCCCAGTCAGTAAACGGCGTTGCCTCCCCTGAAAACAACAGGCTCACAACACACATTTGCATGTTCATGAACACGAGGGCAAGCCTGTCTGAATATGGAGGTTCCCTGAAATGGGGGCTTGCAACCTTGGCAACTTGTTGCGGTGCAGATAGAAACCAGACATCTCTTCTTGCGTGCACCCGAGATTACCCACGCACCCCAGAAACCGTCCAAAGCGCGCCCATCCTTCCAACCTAAACCAAACCCCTCAGCGCTGCCTCCTGGGAACCTAAACCCTCATCTCAATACCCTTTCCAAGAAGACTGGAGCCCTCAACCCGAAACTGCAAATCACCGGACCACTGCACCATGGCCGCGTGGACCCGTTGTATAAGCATACTCTCTGATGCCTATCTTAATCCTGAGCTGCAAGCCCTGATCAGCCTATATCCTGGAGTCAAATCCGAAGAACATACCTACCTATGGACCCTGATCCCTTCCTGGAACAACACCTGAACATGAACTCCATACCAGAAGTCCTACATTCCCAACCCTGTAAACACAGCGATCCCCCCTCATGCACCCTACAGAATGTCTTTTTCACCGCTACATTCCCTCTCGTACTGCCTATGCTACCTTTATAGTGCAGGCACCCGAACAATTGGAATTGCATGGGCTTGGGTTGGACCTGTTTCTAAATAGAACGCCGTAGCCCTGCACGCTGAAGCTTGAACTCTCAGCCCTTGACCCGGAGCATTGAATGAACCTTACACTCCAAATCCCAAGCACTAAGCCTTAAACCGCACACCCAAATCCCAACCCCAAACCCATAGACTTGAACCCCAAGCGCTTAAGAACCATGACGGGCCCGTCCTGCAAGCGCTACGACCAGATCGCCTTTAGCCCCACCACCGCTGCTGCAGAAGGCGAGGCCACCCAGGGGCCAGAGCCTAACTGAAGAGAATGTAGGGAGGTATACGGATATAGGGGGATAAACAGACAGCAATAAGGATATGGAGGAACGAGGAGGGTATACGAAGTGTCCTGCTTCAAAAAAGGATAAGGATTATGGTTATGTAAGGGGGCCCCCTAGTTTTGGGATCCCCATCTAATACTGTAGAGTACTACTTTGGAATCCTACTCTCCAGATCCTCCCAAGCCTGGGTATTTCAAAGCACCCAAGTCTGAGGATATGTTTACTGGCAACTAATCGAAAATGGAAACCAAAATTGAAACTACCAAACCATAATTTAGGGGTTCATGGCTTGAGGTTTAGATCTTAGAGTTTGGTGGCTGGAACTTGTGGTTAGTTGGGGTTGAATGCTTAAAGATATAGATCCCAGAAGTGGTCCAGCATAATTCTCTCTAATACTTGTCAAACCATTTCCTTACAGAGCCGCTGCAAACTGCCAGTAAAGTGAATTTGAAGGGTCTTACGATATTTGCTGGGGTTGGTGGATTTTGGAGCTTAGTCTTGATAGCTGGGGGGTTAGGATTTAGGGTGCTGGGTTCAGGGTTGGAGTCGTGGGTTATGGCGAAAGTGCTTTAGGGCTGGGTGGGGGGTCAGGATAATCAGATGTGACCGTGAAAGTGAAGCTTAGACGCTTGGCATAACAGCAACACAGAAAAAGGAGGAGTCAAAGAGGAGGAGGAGGAGGAGGAGGGGGAGGAGCAGCAGCACGAGCGGAGAAGGAGCCAAAGTCACGGTAGGAGAACCATGAAGGACGCAAAAACTTGTGGAGTTCGCAAAATGTTTGAAAACTGTCTATACAAGCTGGAAAGAATCAAAAAAACATCACGAATCACAGAAATCCTTACAATGGTCCCCCTTTAGCAATCCTGTACAAGAATGCCTTTTGAGAACAACCGCTAGACCGGGATCTACATACCACCGGAACCCCACTATAATCAGGTGGAAGGCCCCTTCATCCCCTTCGACCCCGTATGCAAGCTAAGATGTCTAACATCTGCATCCACCGATACTCCTAGTGAGCCATGTATACTCACCAGAACCAAATGCGCCTCTGTCCTCTGAAAAGGCTGAAGGCCAAAGGACAATATGGGGGCCCATGCTTACTACCTTTGAAAAACAGACATGTCAGACGAAGAGTTCTCAGCTCTCGGCAGGATGCGAGAGACTCGGCCACCAACCAGCTTGGCGCCTCACGGTGGCTAGGGCTTCAGGGTTTAGACTTTGCGGTTTAAGGTTTTAGGCATGACGAGTGCGCAGTCACCGCAGGTTCAAAGGGTTCAATTTAGGGCGCGCGGGTCTAGTCTCCGCATATGCCCTCTACAGAAGACCTAAGATGGAGTTCGGGGTCTGGAGTCAAAAGTTTGCCCTCCCCCCAAAAACATGGCAGCTGAAATGGTCCTGTTTCACGGGACAACAATCTTTGTAGGGCCCTTTTTGGGCTTCCATGTTAGCTTTGGGGGCGTGGAGCTTTGGGCTTTGAGTTGACGGTTTAGGGCTCGGAGCTTTGAGAAGAGAACGGTGATGCAAAAGCTGTCATACTTTGGGATACTCCATACCTCCTGTTCAAGTCTTATAATGATCACTGGTCAGACCTCTATTACATAACATACGGCTAGAGCTACGACCCCTCTTTATGCGACTGGTTCTGGGACTCAGCCAACTGAGCAACAGCAATTACAAATGTAAAGATCTTTCTGCAGGCTTGTCTGACGTCTTCTGAAAGCTGACATTGCAATCACCAAGCCACTTCTTCGCTCGGTACTTGTCGCTGCCAGGACTTCAAGTGGTCGCCCTCTTCCCCTTCTACCCCTCTTTTTTTTGCCCGAATCACACAGAGCAGCGGCATGCTTGTGCATCTCTCAATTTCCTCTCCAGATTTTAGGACTAAACGGCATGGTGACTCTTTGCAGCTTGGGCTTCTGAATTTTCGGGTTTGTGACTTCGACTTGAAGGTTTCAGGCCAAGATTGGGTGATCCCACAGCCACGTGTTCCGAGTAGAAGAAATATCAACACCATGACATGCGGGCCTACTTCTTGAACGACGCCGTTCCCTGTACTAGCCTCAAGGGTTCAGCAAGGACCCTTCTCAGATCGCATAGATTGATTTTTGGATCTTCCCAGGGCATTCCCAAATAATCCCTCAATCGCCCCCCAGAAAACTACCCCAGAATCCGGAACCTCCCAAAATCTTTACCTTGGTGGCCTGCACAGTGGCCAAGCTCATGAATAAGAACCTCGGAGCATGCGAGGGCCTTCAAATAGGTTTAAGGTTTCTGGTGTTGAAATTTACGCTTATGCCCATGTAAGGTTGTTGTTTGAGGTTTAAGGTTGTCATCACAATTTGAATGTTCAGGGTTGTACACACTTTGGAATTTTGGTTTCAAGGATCAGGGTTGTAATCATTCAATATGTTCGGCTAAAGCTTGATGCATGCCAGGTGTTCCAGCTTGAGATGCTTAACATACAAACACCTGAAGCACATCCATATACCCCAGTTGGTCTCCTCGGCAAAGACTACAACAGACTCTTATGTGCTGTCCCACTCATCAAACTCCCAGAGTTCCCAATAAAACCCAGAATGCTCACATGTATGACGGCAACCTCATAACTAGGGCGGCACCCCGACAGACACTCATGATTTTGAGAGACCACCAACATCTTGCCTCCCAGGGGCAACCCTGTCACCAGGACCATGGCGCCCCTAATGTGTGTGGAGGACCTAGGAGCCTTGATTTTTGATCCAAGTCTAGCTCTCTCACAGTGCCGCTAAAATGAGCATGAAGTGCAGTCCCAAGCCCATCTAACCGCCGCTTGAGACTCTCTGAAGCCTACCATAAAAGTCTCTACACACGTCTGCTCTCTCTCTCTCTCTCGCTCTCTGTCTCTCCCTCTCTCTCTTTCTTTCTTTCTTTCTTTCGTTCATCTGTGTCTCTCTCTCTCTCTCTCTCTCTAACGCCTTTTGAGAAGTCGAAAAGTTTCTTGCACGTGGTCAAGGCGAATGGAATAAATCCTGCACAAGCAGGTGAATGTGCGACCTGACTCACCCGGGCTATAGCCAACTCGGATCCGGTTCAGCTCAAGATGTCCCCTAGACATCTACCGATTTACTGGTCCAAGGTCAGCTAAAGAATGACCTTTCGGTGCTCGAACCAAGTAAGTTTAGATGCTTCTTATACTTATGATAGTACTGTAGCGGACTTTGCTAACCAGCGTTTTTGCCAAGCCTGAAGCATTGAGTGCAAGACCGTCAAGAAGAGTATCGCGAAACTCACGCAGCACCTCGGACGAAACAATGCGCAACGAGAAATTCTTTCAATCAATCAACATGGGAAGCCTGCAAGCCCTGTGGCAAGCTAGAAAAACAAGCAAGCAAAGGATTGGTGCCAACAATTGAGGGCGGAGAGTCGCAAAACCTCTATTTTGCCGCCGTCTTCGCCGCCGCTATTGCCGCCGTCATCGGGTGGTCGTGGTGATGACATTGCCATTCCTCCTCCACGCTTCCCTCTTCCTCTGCTACTCATGCCTCGAAAGGTCCCAATACAAGCCTACAAACAAGACTCCCATGTTCAGAGGCTCCTCGAAGGCTAAAGTTTTGGCATTGCGGGATACGACAACCCCGAAATCGAAATGCTGAGTCCTAAACCCTACAGAACAGATAGTAGCTTCCACTAGATATAACCCTATATAATCCTATATATCCCAACGTAACTCCCTTTCTGATTAACAATCAGGTAGCTATAGATCTTAGGATTGGGGCGTTCCAGGGAGACTCAGACGCCGACGTCAGTGCAATCTCTGCTGCCTAGCATGAGCCCAACTGATTCCGAAGTGGATTGAGGTGGAAGGCTTGAGGACGTGGGTCTATGATCTAGAAATTATGCTTTGGGGCTAAGGATTTGGGGTATGGAGATTGTGCTGGGATTCTGTGAATACATGTCAGGATGACGAAGGATAGCGATTCCGCCGCGTTGAATTCTTCAAAATCATGTTTCTACACGTTACCAATGTTTAGAGTCTAGTGCTCAGACTACGCGGAACTAAGCAGAAATGAAAACCTGTTTTTTTACGCATAGTTGGCCTTCTTATCGGGAATGTGAGCGTCAGCGGAGGCTGGGCTGCCACCAATGAGGAAAACAGAGCTCCACAAGAAAAGGAAAGGGGACCCACACGGGTAGCTTCAATCTGAGGATTCCCTCCAAGGAGCTCCAAAGAGGGCCCCGTCTTTTTAATACCCCATGTGTTAGGTGTTAAAGCATTTAGAACCTCACTGTCACCCTGACACGCAAGCCGTAATACCTGAACCTTAAGCCTTGAGCCCTGCAACTTATTCATACTGATTATGCTTCTTTATTGTGAGACTAGTAAAAAAAACAAACTTGTGTAAGATTTATTTCCTTGTAGTATTGCAAGCATTGTCAACAACACCCTCCACATAAATCTCTCAGCTCAGCTATGATCCAAAATGCCAACTAGTTTCATGGCTAGACGGAAGCTGGGTCTCAAAGGGGTATGAGGGGATATGAGGGTATGGTAGCACAACTACAGTTCTGACCTCATCTGCAATTCTGGCAAGCCTCCTTAAGGCTACCCTGCAATCTCCAAGCACGAAGCCTAAAATCCTTTCAAAGCAGCGCATTTCCTTTGTCATGTCAGGAAATGCTGCCAAAATCTCATGAGTTCAGCGTTCGGATAGATGGGCATCATGGGTCGCAGAACGACAGAGGTCCCACACTTTTGAATCCTGGAGCACGCCTTTGAACATGCTAGGGCGCCTGAAGCGCGTGAAAGATTTGAGGGCTATCCAAGTGATGTCCTTAAAACTGACAAGTGCCTGCACCAAAACTAGCAAAGCTTCAACATGAAGCATGAAACTTAGCCCTGCACTTGAAATCCTGGACCCTCCCACCTTCGAGCTCCAAAACAACAACGCCCACAGGCCAAACTCGGGAAAAATGAAAGCAAAACAAAAACTTGTCCCAAGAGGAAATCCTGTAAACAATCCTCTCTTGTCATCTCTGAAATTCATCTCTGACATGAAGCCAAAATTCCTTCACATACCTGAGTTCCTTCCTTTTCTGTAGCATTCATGAAACGTAGACTGTAAATCTTAAAGCCCCTGGGCTCTGAGCCCTTCACCCTGTACTTTACCCCCTATACTAACATCCCTATACCCATGCTCTACTGCTTAACCTCGGGCGTATAGGAAAACTTTTTGGAGTATGGTATGACGCGTAAGTAATGAAGCAAGAAGAATCAGAAACAATCACTGAAAGAGTCGATGATACATGTGATTCCTCAAGCTCCAAACCCTACTACAAGTTGAAGGGATCCTCATAGTAATCCCCTTGGAATACTCATATAAACTGATACTTTCCATTTTCCTTTCCGTTCCTTAAATTGTGTTCTGGAGGTAAGTAATACATCCCTCAGTTTCACTTTGTTGTCCATTTTCGTTTCATGATCCCTGTTTGATCCCGAGATTCCAAGTTGCAAGCCTTTCGGTAGTCTGGCAGGCCACGGCTCCGTTTTGCGGCGGCCTGGTGACTTGCCGTTGTAGGACTTTAATGCGAGGGTTTGGGGTTGGGTCGTTCAGGATCAACATCTAGGGTTTCAGGATGAAGGTCTAGGATTGGGGCTCCGGATTTGAGAAAAACAAAGCAGCGGCTTCAAAAAAATGTCCCCTGAGAGGGCTGTCATCCCAATCTTATAGAATCAAGTGGAAAAGACGATGCAAAATGACATGGGAACTGGCTTTCATAGATTGGTTATGCTGTGTTGGGGTTTAGGGCTGAAGCCAAAAAGCAGAAGCAAAGCGAATTCTGCCGAGACCATCTTGAAAACCGGCATGATCAGAGCAGAAGAGAGGAGGGCCCTGGTGGGGAAGTCTGTGCGAAAAAACAGAAGACTGAAACTCCTAAAAGTTCACACCTTAGCGGCAGTTAGGGTTATCTGAGAAATCCACGTTCGGGATCTTCCAGAAGCCCTGTGTTAAGCATTGCATGTACCCAGCCCGAAGGTAAAGTGAGCTGGGGATAGACAATCATGTTAGTACTATTATTACGAGTATATCTATTACAAGGTAGGGGCAGTTTTTGAAGCAGTAGAGAACATATTGGTAAAGGAGCTGGATCTGTTTTTTGTGACGGTTTACAGAGATTGTACGTGCGCGGCCTATCTAATTAGATGAGACTTTGGGAGTTAGTAAACTATAGCTATATCATAAGAAACATATAGAAATTTGAATGTATAATACTGGCAGCGATGAAGGATTCTATAGCAAACCAGAGGCTTCTTCTCAAAATAGGGCTGCCTACCGAGACCCTAAGGATATGTAGGGACTTAAAAGAGAGTACAAGGGGCCCCTGTAAACGAAACTTGGCCATCCAGCAGCCTAACAACTGAAAAACAAAGCTTGATACTACTCTAGTTAGATAGGGCGTAGAATCAAGCGATATTTGCAAATGTTGAGGTTTTCTAACTACAGAAGCTAAAGCCATGTAGACCTGTCAGGGACAATGGCCAAACACCTGAACAGGGATATCGGAACCATAATGTGTTTGTAGCCCCAATAACTCCCACGGACCTAGCCCATGGCTGGCACTCCCCAAGGATTATGTACGGCCGAAGTTGCGGAAGTGTGGGAACTTCTCAGGAATACCCTAAATCCCTCGAAGCCCTAATGGCCGATTATAATGAGAAACCTCATGTGGACTCTAAAACATGCACGGGACTTCTACCCGCTTGTGATACTGGACTTTGAAATTTCAAGATTGTCGTGGGCCGGTCGGATTTGTCAGGTCATGGAGGCTGAGGCTATCAATTGCAAGAGTATTGTTCAGAGTTTACGGGTGAAAGGTTTAAGCGCTTTAGAGTTGAGGGTTTAGGGGCCAAAGGGTTAAGGGGTTTCTTTGGTTCAGGGTTTAATTGGGCGATAGGAGTTCGCAGGCCTCCTCGTCAGAGAGCCGCCAAACAAAGAAGGCCACAAGGAAAATGTGCACCTGAATCTGCGCGCAAATCAGCCAGTATATCCAACTAAAATCGAAACACACGTTTCAGTTTCATGCAGGATTCTTGCCAACTAAACCTGCACCTAAGAGTGGGAACATGTCAGAGTTCTAGGTGGGCTTATAAGGCAAACAAGACTCGCCAAGGAATCGTTCAAATCCTGAACAGAGTCTGGGCCAGCAAAGCCGTGCCTCTGATTCCAAACACCCGTCTGCAACTACTATGGCTATGGCTATTGATACGGCCGTTTCAAGTAAATACTTTAATAATGACCGTTACTGACAATCGAGAATGTGATCCCCACACTTCTGTTTGGCATATTTTCTACCCTCAGCGGATTGCTACTTCTTCTCTTGTTGTTCTTGCTAGGATACGCAGATGCGGCCGTGGAAAGGTCGCCACTTCTGCATGTTTGGTGCGTTGGGGGGTGGGGTGGGGTGGGGGATAGAACGTACGTTGTTTGGTTGCATCCACAGCAATGGCAAGCTTTAGAAGAGTCCCGTAGATGCATGCGGCTTTGGGGATGGATGCAGGGTATGAGCACGGAGCGCGCACTTTGCAGAAACAAACTTGTTTTGGACCACACTTTGAATGTGCGGATTGGAAAGCAGTGGGATAATCCCACAAAAAAACTCCAGTGACCCAGGTACTCACCGCACCTGGGCGTAGCCTCGCTTGGTTCAGCGCCTTTTCACTGGAAACTACAAGTTTGATGAAAAGATTGCTAGCGGGCATCATGTCAGCATTTGGCACTTGATGTGATCTGTGCCAACTGCCTCCGCCTAGCAATCACAGAGCTTCATGAACTGTAACGTGTTTTACACGTACGTGCAAAAAAAAACACAACCCTCCCACTCACCTCAAGAATGTATTGCGCTGTGTGCGGCGTCAATCGCCCCAGGAAATGAAGCAAAGTGGCCTCAAAAGAGAAGGCCACAAGCGTTCGCACGCCCTGAGGGGCAGGAAGGTCCAGATGCTCTGAAAGCTGTATGCCAATCTGCCTGACAATGCCGCTCAGACCCATTCTGACAAAGAAACAGTCATACGGAAGGACCATGTCTTTGACTTGACCCTTTCTTTGTCAGAATGGGTCTGAGCAGCATTGTCAGGCAGAATGGCATACAGCTTTCAGAGCACTCGCCATGTCTTTGAACAAGCGGCTATTTGTTGGATAATTTTACATTTGTAGACGAACTTGCATGATCACTTTTGTGCATTTCACCGAAGTGTTAGCGCGAGTCTCGGGTCCGAAAAGGGCCCTTTGAGTAGCTTGTATGGGAAGTATATAGCGTCCAAGGCTTCAAAGGTTGTACTTTCAGGAATGATTTGCAAGAGTATGGCTCTCAACAGATTATGGGATTTTGCGCAGTGGCATGCTTAAGCCCCCATGCTCCATCTTGCTCAATGTAAATTTCAGTCGATACCTCCTTTTTGTCGGCATGGTTCGCACGCGCGGCCGCGGGGCAAAAACCAAAACGACCAACCTAAAATGTGCCCACAAAAAATGAAAACAAGCCGAACGCGCGACAAAACAAAAATCACCCTAAAAATTGCGAAGCATTTTCTCTTGCTTTAGACCCCGTCTTTGGCAGCCAAAATTCCTCCAATATCACGCTAAGAACACAGCGCTGGTTTCGACATACAACCTGCAAAAAAAGAGATACAAGTCTTCTCTGATCTCCTGCCTTTTGGACCTCAAAAAATGGCCACATGCAAAAACGAGTGCATTTTCACACATGGCCAAAAAAGTGACAACCCTTCCACGGCCGCGTTTGCACATATTGCTTTGTTCTTGCCAGTACTGAAACATCGTTCGCTCAACCAGAGCCATGATTCGCGGCAAGGATTGTAAAATCTCTCCTTGAACTTTGGCCTGGGTGGGTTCTCGGTCCATTTTTGTTCGCTACAAGTTCGACGCGGCTTTTCAAACACTCCCAATTGGAGCCCACTTGAGACCAAGATCAAGAGAAGCCCCATAATCACTACCATATGCTGCCCATAATCCTGTCTCACACACCTCCCTCAAGGAAGAGCTTCAAAAGCAAAACCTGACCTTGAAAGCGCCTTCAACCCAGAACCCCGACTATTGAGCCGGGCTGCATAAATTGGAATGCCGCAGGCGTTGAAGAGTCGGAACTCCAAGGGCACAGGGCCCAACCTGGCAGATTTGGCAGATTTGGGAAATTTTGAAAGTAGGGGTTCCCTTCGGGACACTAAATGCAGACAGTGATGAAATGTTCATTCTTTGGATCCCGTTTCAGGGCCCTGTGGTGAAAAATTATGGAAAGCTGGGTTTAGAGTTTTCTGTCCGGGGTCTGCTGCGGTGGGCTTGGGGTTGCCGGTTTAAGTAAGGGTGTAGAGATTTGGGGCTTGCGGTAGAGGGCTTAGGGCTTCGAGGCTTGAGGGTTTTTGGGCTGAGGGCTTCAAGGTTGATGGCTTAGGATTGATTTCGGGTCTTGGGTTTTGGGCTTCGTTGGAATTTGGACATACTTGGCGGTCCATGGCATGTGATACGTTCTACCGTAGCCTTTTTCAGCTTGAAGATTTTGGGCGTGCATGTTTTGGCCCAGGGCAGAGTACAGATGTCTGTTTTCCTTGATACGAAACGCCATTTTTCCCAACTGTCCTTTAGACTGGGATGCGGGCATGGTAGCTTACGGCATATTGGATCCTGATACTGGGCGCTGTAGGGAAGAGAACAAGACTGCGGGCCTTCGTGAACCCTGATTACCAGTAGTTGGTCTTGAGATGAGAATGCTCTCTACCGGGAAGAGTACGTTCCTCAATACAGAACCCTGGCCGCAGCACAGGACCACCCATTGGAGAGCTGCTGAACGCACTACTTCTCTTGCTGCTATTCTCTTTTCTCTTCCATGCATGATGATTGCTGCTACTATCACTCCTTCCACTGCCCAGAATACCGGCACTGGCACCGGCATCAGCACCAGCACCGCCACCGCCACCACCGCCACCGCCACCGCCACCGCCACGACCACTACTTCCGTGCACAAACAGGTCACCCACATAAGCAGCACCTAATCATGAACACAGGCCTCTCCACAGCCATGGCAGCGCACAACTCGAAACGTGTCAGGTTGGTGGCGTGAAATCTCGAGTGTACAATTTTGAAGGCTTCTTGCATCACCCTAACAAACCTGGTGTAGGTTGCTGCACGTCGACTAAAGTTCACTTGAAAGCCATACGAAGCTCCAGCACCCCAAAAAGATCCCAATTTCCCAGCTAAATGCCCAGAATGGTTCGGCAGTCAATGGAGTGTCTGGGCTTTACGTTCATAAAGGCAGCAAGAGCTCCTCTTGAGGGCGCGCACGCACAGGGAAGCTTCAGCTGGCTGCCGCAGGTTGCAGCAAAGCCTGACAAGCATGAGCGGGACCTGCTTGGACTTCCCGGCTCGTGTTGGATCCAGCAGCAGATGCACCTCACTCAGGCATGGCCAGCCTTTTTTTGCAGAAGCCACAATGCGCATTGTTCTTGCTTGACACTGAACTTCAAACCGTAAACCTTGGACCTCGAAGTTTGAGAGCCAAATCCGGCTTGGGTAAATTTGTCACGGGGTTCCCCGTTATTGAGGCGTAACAATATTACAGGGTTGACAACCACAAATTCCTGGTGCCCAAAACATTGAAATCCTCTCAAATCCCATAAGCAGTAAGAGGCCCAAACTCCAAGAAGCTCTGTAATCCTTATCCGAACCCTGTATAACCCCTATGAGTCCCCCATCAAAGCGGAACATAGATAATTCCAAATCTTGGAATACCCCGCATGTGGCAATCTGCCACCAGTGGGTTTGAGAAATCGGATACAGGATGTAAGAGTAGGGGTTACGCGTGTTCTAATCCACGGTTTGATGGTTTAGAATCAACTCGCGCTTGTGGTTCTTTGTTCGGAGCTACGAGGCGGGAACTGTGGCTGTGAGGTTATGAAAATAATGATGTACCTCATTCAGTCCGTCCCCGTGTTTCGTTCAACCAGATATTTCACTTATGAAGCTCACCATTACGCGAATAACTTGAGCCGAGCGGAGTCAAGGGAGCGAAGTAGGCGTGACAAACAATTACGACGAAGTACCTCCTGAATTTGCAGCTTCTCAAAAAATCGACTGATGGTAAGATTGTGATTAGCCAGGTGGATTGAGCATCCTTGCTTATGGAGGAACTACCACTAGATGTTGGAGAACCTTTATACCTCGCAAAGTAAACTGAGTGAACAGAGGAACCACAACTACATCTGTCAGGCCTGAGGGCGCGAAATTAACACAATCAATGACTTCGTTATCTTAATGACTTTGTTTGCACTTCCACACTTCATTTCTTAGATCAATTCACAAAAGAACAAGTGGTGATGGCAAGGGGCATAGTTCTTCTGTATCTCTGTATCTCTTGTTGCTTTGAAACATTGAACGGCGAGGGCCCCCCTCTTGTTATACTACCAGACCAGACTCATCTGTCACATACGTCATGCAAGACACAGTCCATCAAGACACCCCAAAACCCAAAACCTCATGGAACACCATACGTCCTTATGCAAAACCCTGTCTAACCCCAAAGTGATTCACAAGGTAGGTATTGTAAACCCGGACGAAATCTTCAGTGTCCAAACAGCCCCGGAGAGTCAAGCCCCACTGCATGCGCCCTTCTTGGCACTGGGATGCTAGAGGCTTCTGGTGTAAGGGAGCTGGAGGGCTGGATTCGCCTTGAAAGAAGGATCCTAAAGCTACCTAGAGTCCGTCGTAAGAAAATACGCTGCAAGACAGCCCAAATCTCCTCTCAGGGCAGATCAGTATGATGGATTAGAGCTGTGGTGTAGAAGTCATTCCAAGTTTTTGGGCCTCTCCTCTTTGGTGCCTCATCCTCCAGGATTGAAAATGCAGGGTCTTGGGGGGAACCGAAACTGCGTATCTCGTAGTGTCCGTGTTCCTTTTCATCTGTCTGAGACTCCTCTTCGCACCCAAGCGCTGGGGCTGCAGCAGCACTGCCAAGCTTTCAAAGGCAAGGCCCCGAAGGTTCCCAAAATCTTGATGCAGCATAAGGCTGTGGAGCCGTCTGTACATGGAGGGAAGGAAGCCAGATTTCAGCTTGGTGGGCTCTTAAGTCAAGGCAAGAATGGCATCACTTCGCTACCTTCTTTCATGACCTGTTACTGCTGGTCGTAGAGGATACCTCAGAGTAAATTCAAGCTGCCCAAAACTGCAGGCACCGAATTATGAGCGCTGCAGCAACAAGGCTTCTGTTATGACAATCTACCAGAAATTCCAATCTAGCAAGGAGCTCAAATCAAAGGAGATGCACGGCGGTGTTTCGTGCGACTCTAAGCAAGCTTCCGCAGAAACTCCCAACCCTCAGTCAGCTCCATTCAAGCCACGGTGGAGCAAAAGTCAATCAGTATGTCGGCTTCTCCGGACCTTTGGGGCCCAAGATTCTGCATTTGGACTCCTGCACGGTCCTTCACATATCTACTTCTGGAAGGCGATTAAGAGTAGGCAACCAGGTAACCTAGGCCTTCTGCACCACGTCTATCTGCGCACATCTAAAGATATATATATATATATGCACGCACAAATATGTCTGTGTCTATGTATATAGAACGTAAAAACCACCAGAAACTTCCAATCCTTATATGAAGCGTCATTCCTCCTGGCCGGGTGTAATCTCTACAAACCTCAGTCGGGATTTGCATCTACTTGGAGACGCATTTGTCATCACCTCCACCCAATAGCGAAACGCCCCACCCTCCTGTCATGAATAGTCCCAGTATCATGCACAGGCGGGCCATATAGCAGTTGTATGTGAGGCTGCTTTGCAGGGTGGGTATGAACAACAAAAAATTGTGTGGTCATGACCTTGCTTAGGATCTTCAACAAAAGTGCATGTAAGTATACTGTCCATGAACTACCAGTTGTCGCAAGCATAGAAAGCAAAATGAACCACCTTAATTCCTATCCTCATGACATCTACTGCTTCGGTGAAGTCCCTGCATTCCTATTGTACTCCTACCCTAAACCTTGAATGCTGCATCCTCAACCTGAAGCCCTGAACCTTCAGCAAGCAACACTAAGCCCTACACCTGAACTCAAAACCCCAACCCCTATGTAAACCTTGCAGACATACTTTTTTCGACTGGTGCTCGCTCCCGCTGCGGGCGCGGGCAGTTGGGCCAATCACCCGCCACACTTCGCGCAAGTAGTTCTAAAGTCTTCGTGGTAGAAGGCGCAGTAGCACTAGAAGGAATGGTACAAAGGAATACCAGACTAAGTAGTCGTGGTCGTAGTGCAGTAGGAGCCGTAGCAGCAGCAATGGGCAGGAGGAGACTGCAACAGGAGGAGGCGGCGGCAGCAGCAAGAAGAGTAGTAGTAGTAGTAGTAGTAGTAGTAGTAGCAGCAGTAGCAGTAGCAGTAGCAGTAGCAGTAGCAGTAGTAGTAGTAGCAGTAGTAGTAGTTGTTGTTGTTGTTGTTGTTGTTGTT